GTTCACTCATTGAATAATAAAATTACAAAACCTAAAACGAGGATGGAATCAGACTCGCTTCACAGCTGTTTCCTAGCTGTCTCTGTACTCTTCAGGAAATGCAAATACACAATTAGGAAGGCTTCCATTTAAGGAAAAACAATCCGAGTACTTAACGTTCTAGTGATCCATCTTTAAAAAAAAATAGTAACTATCTAGCTGTCAGGCAGCAACATTCAATAGAAGCTAGATCAGGTGCGTTTAAAAAGTGCTATGGTGCAACTCTAGCAGCATAAAGAAAGGGGAATTAAGGCATACAAGCTATTTGATTTTTGAAGCCATTATGCTGGGGGGGTTTTTTAATCAACATCTGGTATGTTCTGTTAAAAGCTATAATGCAGATACTTTGTATCTATTTATTTCTGAACCATTAGCAATATATAGCATGTCCATCCATACGTGAAACTGTTAAAATTTCTCTACATGTGGGGGGCGGTAAGAGTCAGAAACACTTTTGTCTATGTAGACTTGTTCAAGCAGTTGTAATGAAGTCCTATGGAGAAAAATGGATCTGGGCTGCAATTATCCACTACATTTCATCCTGCAGGGTATTTAAAGAGCCCAATTAGAACTAGCTTAAAGTGATCATTCTAGGAAGATGGTAGTTGAACTCTAAAGCAATTTTGTGTTTTGTTCCATACACAATAAACATAACAAGGGAACCACAAGAGCATGTTTCTGTCCAAATAACATTCACTAAACCTGCTCACAACATGCAACACCTGGTTACATATATAGACTTTAGACTGCTAGTCTAGGTGGGTTTCACAAGAAATTAAATGCAGTGAACACCACTAAAGAAATACAAAAATTATATAAAGGGTACTATCCAGTTCATATAGTAGAGAAAGGAGTTTAATAATGTGACATTATTGTGTTTTGGGTGCAGCTTCACTTTTTGTATGAAAGTATCCTTTAAGTTTACTTTACTAAAAGTGTAGACTGGATTGAGCCTATTCCAGAACAGACTTTGATGAAAGCAATGTCTTTGGCTTCAGAAGCTATTTGTCCCAATATCTCCTTTACTTGCCATATCAATAGTACCCTCTGCTATCTACTCATTTTTGACATTTTTATCCTGACTGCTGATTGTGAAATATTTTCTATTATAATGCCTTTGTCAAAGTTATTAATCATTCACTATTTTACAATTTATTGACAGCTTTATTCAGCTAAAAAAAATGTGGTTCAAAGATTCTTTATAATACGGACATAGATCCAGCTGGTTTGGCACGGAATCTGAAACACAAGTGGCATTCTTTCATTACGCCTACCTTGGAGCCAGTAGTTGCTGTCAAGCTGTCTGCAATCATTCTGGGAAGTACTGTTCCTAAATCTGTGGTATCTAATAATTTATATCATACAATAATGATGGTTGACAGCAATACCATAAACACAGATCATCAAAGAGACACACTAGCAACTTTCATTAGTTTGAAACATGTTGGTAAGGAAGCTATCATGAAAATACATATAGTCACCCAGTTAATGTAAGTGTTCCCTATTGGTATTTTTTCTCTCTTCTCTTTGGACCTGATCCAAAAGTTGTGATAAACCCCAATGAATACAGTATAAGTCCTAAAATAGGAAATAAGTGACACCCATTTTCACACTATATGTATACCTATCTTAGTGGTTTTATATGCACATTTGTAAAACTGGATAAAGAGAATCTGCTGATCAGGCATCTCTTAACCAGGTTGTTTCTGAACTTAAGTGGCGAGATTTCTAGTGATAGGTGACAAGACATCTACAGGAAGAAAAAAAAAATGAAATTTTCCTTTAACAGTATAATTCAAATAAGGTCATTAACAAAGCAAGTAGAGATGGTAGCAGAAAATATAATGGAAAAATATCAAGTCAGCTTAGAGGGACGTTTAAATCCTTTCGTTTTTACGGCTGTCTTCAGTCTTTGCAGATGGAAGCGCTATCCCCTATGTACTTTCTCTGATTCTTGCCAAAGTTGAATGCTGTATTAAAAAAAATAAACATTCAGAGATGGTGGACCATAGACAAAGTGATGTGGGAGATAAAGCAACTTTCTGTCCTGAACAGCCCCTGATCTACATCTGGGAATTATTTATGAGACTAACCTTTTGATAAAAGCGTGTGAAGAGGGAGTGTATTTCCCCCAACACTTTTCAAGTCAACAGGGAAGTTTCTGTAATTGGAGGAGATTTGTTGACTGTTTTGTCACCTGCAGTGATGCCAGGCAGGGAGGCAGAGAGCTATCATGCATTCTTGATGATGACACAGGCTTATGGATTGGTATGTGGGAGAGTGTTGGTAACAAATACATATATAGAGGAAGTTGCTCTTTACAGCTCACCAATTATAAGACTCAAAAAGGGGTGAAAAAGTACATTTAAAAATACTTCTTGCTAATCTAGTCCTGTATATATATCCTTGTACCCTGATAAGACCTCAGCATCCCATCCCCTCCTTAATTTCCTGTTCTTCAGAAACCTGACTTCCTAACCTACCAACCCCAAACTTAGGCAAGCCTTTCTGCATGAAATCACTATTCTGGTTTCTGAATATGTGGTCCCAACCTAGGCAAACACTTAAATACTTGTTTAAGATTAAGCAGGTGCTTAATATATTTCCTGATGTGGCCTTAGAGCAGGGGTGGGCAAAATGGTCGATCCAGCCAGCAGCCAGACTCCCATTTCCCAGCCGCCCCTGTGCATGGCTGGGGCCGGTCTCCATGAAGACCCCAGCCACAGCTGTGCGTGGCTCTGCCTGTACCCCAGACCAGGCTGCCACCACTGCAAGGAGCTGGGGCAGAGCGCAGTCGCCTGCCCAGAGCATGCAGGCTACAGATTACAGCTCTGCCCTGGCTCCAGAGCAAGCTGCCCCCATCACAGTATCCCAGCAGCTCCAGGGCAGCCCTCTGCACTGGTCTGCTATGCACCCTGCCAGCATGGCTGGGGTATCTATAAAGACAGGCCCCTGCCATTCGCAGGGACAGCTGGGAAATGGTGTCCATTGCCGACTGGGTCTGGCCTGCGAGCCAGACTTTGCCCATCCTTGCCCTAAAGAAACTTGGGTGTAGG